CTTGTCATTGAGTGTCAGTCTGAAATGGGCTTACCGATTGGGTCTTGTCATTGAGTGGTCAGTCTGAAATGGGCATGTAGATTGGGTCTTGTCATTGAGTGTCATTCTAAAATGGACTTACAGATTGGGTCTTGTCATTGAGTGTCAGTCTGAAATGGGCTTACAGATTGGGTCTTGTCATTGAGTGTCATTCTAAAATGGACTTACAGATTGGGTCTTGTCATCGAGTGTTATTATAAAATGGGCTTACAGATTGGGTTTTGTCATTGAGTGTCAGTCTGAAATGGGCTTACAGACTGGGTCTTGTCATTGAGTGTCAGTCTGAAATGGGCTTACAGATTGGGTCTTGTCATTGAGTGCCAGTCTGAAATGGGCTTACAGATTGGATTTTGTCATTAAGTGTCAGTCTGAAATGGGCTTACAGATTGGGTCTTGTCATTGAGTGTCAGTCTGAAATGGGCATGTAGATGTGAGTCTTTTCACTGAGTGTCAGTCTAAAACTGGCTTACATATTAGGTCTTTTCATTGATATCATTGTGAAATTGGCTTACAGATTGTTTCTAATCATGCCTACAATGTAATGTTTTGCTATGCAATACTCTTAAATTTAAATGTCATGTATGAATTATACACAGTGTTTCAATCAGTGTCTTCATATTGCAGTAAACGTGATCAGTTTACCATTGTTCCTATTCTTGTTGGAGCTTTGAGTACCGACAAAGAGCAGAAGTATGGAAGAATTTTGGCCAAATACTTGGAAGACCCACACAACCTGTTTGTTATTAGCTCAGATTTTTGTCATTGGGGTAAGTATACCTACTACCAATTCACTAACATCTATCTTGAGAATTAACAATAATTATTGTGTAGTTCTACTTCTCTGTGTATGTAACCAACCGCAGGAGATGCAATGAATTTACATGTACCTTCAGTATTCTGATTATTAGTATACATACAGATCTGAATATATATGGCCAATTGGCAGCCATTTTCTTTTCAAAATTTGTGTTCTCTGGATTCTTTTTAGATTCCCTTCAAATATTACACATAAATAATACATATGTATACACAAGAATTTTATTTAGCAATTTTATTAAGATTGTTCATGGATATTCAACCTTAATAAAATAAAAGTGAACAAAAAATTTGTTCTTTTGTTTCATAAGTGTTAAATAATTGTCGATTACGATGGTCATCAACTTTTGAAATTTCTTTTCCCAATGTAAAATATATCTGCAAACTTGCCAAAATGAAATTTTTGTAACTATTCCCTTAAAAATCCATGTCAAAGCATAACAAATATATAGTATTCTAAATATTATAGATCTTCTCAATGATATGAGAAATGATCATCTTATATGTGATTTTTTGAGGTATGACGAAACTGTTTTACATGTTACCAATAGTGAATGTCTCCAAAATTGCCATTTTCATGGTTGTTGACATTTTTAAGTGCAGAAAGCAGTTTGTTGACTCTACTTTTTGACTCCCATGTGTGAAGCACAAAATGGGAGTCTTTGCAGTTAGTGTGTCTGTATGTGTGTATGTGTGTATGTGTGTATGTGTGTATGTGTGTATGTGTGTGTGTATGTGTGTATGTGTGTCCGACTGTTCCACTGCTATCTCAAAAACCATACATCAGTTTTTGATGAAACTTGGTGCATAGATGCTCTGGGCCAATGCGCAGATTTGATTAGTTTTGGTAAAAATCCATGCTCGTTAATTACCTAATTTGCATGATAATTAGCTAATTTTTAGCTGTTCTATGACTGTTCCACTGATATCTAAAGAACCACTCATTGGATTTTGATGAAACTTGGTGCATAGATGCTCTGAACATATGCGCAGATTTGATTAGGTTTTGGTAAAAAATCCATGCTCGTTAATTACCTAATTTGCATGATAATTAGCTAATTTTTAGCTGTTCTATGACTGTTCCACTGATATCTAAAGAACCACTCATTGATTTTGATGAAACTTGGTACCATAGATGCTCTGAACATATGCGCAAATTTGATTAATTTT